CTCAGTGCCAGAATCCACCACAAAGCTTTATTTGATTGCTTAATTGTTTTACAAGGCCAATTCCTAGACAAGCCATACTGCACGGCTTCCATAGCAGAACACCACAAATACTCTTTTGCACAGCTCAGCTCTACTTATGAGAGAAGGCTGACTTTGAAGTTCAAAAATTGCAGTGAGAAATTTATCATTTTCTTAAAGGCTAAGTACAAAGATAGCTTTTTATGTCCTTAAATAAATACAATTCCTTCCATTCAAGGATCAAAGAGCTTCACAAGTCTCACATCAGCAATACACCTATACAGCACAAACCATTATCCTCATTTTACACATTAGAAACTAAATAAAAGATTAAGCTACAAATCCTAAGCGACAGAGCACATCTGCAGCAGAACTGCTTCCAGTACTRAGCTCTAATAACGAGGAGAGACAGGGTTTTGAATGCACAAATTCTGCAGCATGACTAGTGAGAAGCTCTTCCCTGCGCTGGTTCTGACTGAAGTTGCTGTTCTGCTGCCTTTATAAAAGCTCCTTTTCTTGGATTGGAACAGCACTTATAACAACAATCTTAGACAAATTTTTAACATAAACCTTATCCTAATAAAACCTGGCATACGCTGAGTTTTTGATAGAGTGGAAGCAAAAAAAAAGGGCACATGCTAAAGCAGCCATGAACAGCTAGAAGGTAATGCAATCTAGTAATCACCATTTGTCAAGGAGGTCATAGCAGTGATTCTCAGAAGCTGCTCAAAAGCACATCAGGCTTATTTTAGGAAACGTTACACAAACTGCTTGTGCACTTGCTGTTGCTATTAAGTTCCGTATCTTTAGTATCAGTGGGTTCCTACCTCTTACTGCAATTTAGGTTCACTGGTCCCAATCCCCACATTCATTTCCCATGGCCAGTGCTGTGGGTGAAGCCCTCCAAGGCACCAACAGACTTTTCATCATTTCAAAAGTAAAGGATTTGTCAGCAGTTCATATAGCAGCATAGCTCATAGTCATATGAAGAGATGAGCATAAACCTTTGTTTCTGCCAAAAAACATACCATATGTTGCCTAAGGAATAAACACACATTATCCCATGTTTTTGCCAAAATATGCTTATCAGATTTATTTCAGACAACAGACAACATAAACATAGATATCATGTCAAAGAAGTAAATGTACCCCTTGCAAAAGCAGATCTTAACTCAAGGTTTGGCACTGCAGGACTTGGAAAGCTCGGCTAGAGTTACAATTACGGATATTTCAGAAGCACTGCACAAGTCTATGTGAAGACCTTTTTATATTCCCGAATTTTTATGTCTTCCTTTTAATGAGTCGAGCACAGTCACATCAACAAGACTGCACAGAGACACTAGAGTGATTAATTTTAAGCTCAATCCACTGGTTGCTCTTCGGAAGACATTAGCCTGTGTTTCAGCTCTTGGGAAAGTGGGGGTGGCCGTGCCCTTATCTCAGGCTCCCATAACCCCTCCAGGTGCCCTCCAAGGCCAAAAGCCCGGACCGCTGAAGGCAAAGAGGACACACACATACTGTACCTGAACAAAATAACACTTTTTCCCGCTCCAACATGTATCTGGCTGCTGTGCTAGTCTGTGAAAAGCCACAGATAAACCTTTCTTTGATCAACACACTTACTGAGCAAAACAGACTAATGTTATGTAATAGGCACTGCATAAGCATAGGCGAACATAATGGATTCATTACTGATTAAAGAAAATGAAGTGTTTAATCATTCATAAATCTATTTTTATAGGCAGTGTAAGCTGCACTCGCTCAAAAAAAAATGTAAATACAAAGTACAGATTTATCATACCTTGCGGCATGACTGAAGCTTTCCTATTATTCTTGTCCTACAAAATCTATCCCTAACTTGTATCCACTGACTCATGGAAAGGTTTACCAGATCACATATTTTCAGGGAAAATTTTCAAATAAGCTTGCTCTGTTGATCATGAATACACGTATAGATGTACTCGTGAACATGAATTCTTTTAATGTTAAACATTCATGCACGTCACTGATAAATACAATCCAAAATCCAGACCAAAACCTGAACTAGTCACCACGTTTCCATTAAGAAAATGAGGCAATGGGTACTATGAAAAGGAACATGTACTTTGAAGATTGTTAGAGATGACAGCAATAGTAAGATAGAAAGAAATAACATCCAAATTCTGTGTTTCCACAAAACAGTATTATCTACAACATGGAATATTATTCAACATAATGCATAAGACTGCAATGAATAACATTGTGCAATTGACTTTTTGAACAGCTTCACATGCTATAAGCCTGCACTGAAAGTTTCCTGTTAATTAACCACTTAAATAATATTATTAGTTTATTCAGCATAGCTACAGATTTCATTTGAAGAATAAAAAGCTGATCAAGAATAATCCCCCTCTCCCCATTTTGAAAGGTTACTACACTGCAATGCAGTATTAGACAAATAAACAGAGGCAACAAGCCCAASTCTTGATATTTTTTCCATGTAAAACTTTAACATAATATTCTCTTTCCCACATGTACAAAGGTAAATGAACTTTTATATCCAAGTGAATGTAATTATTAAATCCAGGTCTGTTTCTGTATAAGAGTTTTACGTAGAAATCGTGCTTTAGGCCTTCTGAGCCTACCTGTTTCATGGATGTGTAGTCATTTACCTACATGCAAGTGTTTTGTTTTCCCTTGCATGGGTTAGCAAGAATACAAGCGAGAGCAAACAATAACAAGACTGGCAAAAGGAACTAGGAAACATAAGCGAAGTTTCATCAGACACAAACTGAAATAATAGGAAAAAATTCTCCTCAAGTTGACAAAGTGTCATTTGTAACAGGAACAGCAGAGAGGGGGAAAAAAGCGCTTCTGTGAAGTTTACACTGACAGCATCTCTTTAAATATCACACTCACAACCCAGATTTTCCCATCTGTAACTATAAAATATCCGAAAGGAAAACCCACCCTCTTGATGATGACAAAAACCTGCGTGAAAACAAGCAGCATTAGGGCAGCAGCTCTCGCTCATTCCCAACCTGTGCAGCAAAGGTCCCATTTTCTCCTGCTTCGATCAGCAGGCAGCGGCTCTTCCCGCGCACGCCGGCAGCCCAGGCCGCCGTGCTCCACATCCTCCGGGATGAGCGAGGGAGCCGGCGCAGGCGGCGCAGCGCAYGGGATCACACACCTTGGCGCCGCACACCTGGGCTCCAGGGTGGCTAAYGGGGCCATGGACACGAATGATGCCCAGGGGAAGCTTACACGCAAGCAGATATGCGTGTACATGCTTCGTTTATGCTTTAATGCAGACATAGGGATGTGGAAAGCCACGCTTTCCGGCCTAGGGATGCCCGAGGGCCTGGGAGGGTCCCCAAGCTCCCCTGTTCTCCCTTGGGTGCTTASACAGGGGCTCCTGGCCATGCTTGGAGACACGGGGTAGCCCTTTGGCAGACACCGTGCGGCCGCTCTTGCCTCCTTATCCCCACGTGTCCCGCAGTCCGGACACCACCCATTAGCTCTTTTTCCCCTCAAGTTCTTTGAGAAAACCCTTGGAGCAGGAGAAGCGCCTTGGAGCAAAGCCYTGGAGCGTCCTTTCCCAAGCGAGTGCTCCGGGGCTGCTCCGTGTGCGGAAGGCGGCGGGATGGAGCCGCGAGCGCATCCGCTGCCTGCGGAGTCCGGAGCGCCGGCACTGCATGGAGGAGGCGAGAGGGAAAAGGGCAGGCGCGGCGGGAGGCAGGAGCTGCAAAGGGCATTTAAACACGGGCTTGCAACACCGCGCAGCCCAAACCGTGACGGGGACCTTAACTAAAACAGCAATTCTGAAACAGCTCTATTTCGGTGGTTATGCTTAGCGTCTCCCACTAAAACCCCAAGCAGAGGAATGCCCAAGTGCGAACAGTTAAATATATATATATATGACACCCATTAGGGTTATGCAAGAAGGGACAGGGCGGGGGGGACGGACAGACGACAAGCTACCGCGGCCACGCATTCCTAGAGGGCAAGAAAAAAAAAAAAGGGAAAAAAAAAAAGGAAGGAAACGGGAGGGGGATAGGGAAATCCCGGCGGCCCCTCACCTCGGTCTCCACCACTTCGTGGTAGGCGGGCGGCGGGTCGAAGCCGCCGCTGCCGCCGCCGCCGCCGTCGCCGTCGCCGCCGCGGGGCCCGTGCCCGCCGGCGGGGGATCCGTGTCCGCCGGGCGGGCCCTGCCCGCTCTCCATGGGCTCGTAGCCGCCGTAGTGGAGGCCGGGCCGCTCGTTGGTGAGCAGCGCCACGGCCTCGTTGATGTCGTTCTTGGCGAGGCGCAGCGCCTTGCGGATGGCGGCCGCGTCCGAGAAGCCCATGCAGAGCAGCGTGGTCATGTGCTGCTCCTCCTCGCTCTCCATGGCGCCGGCGGCGGCGGCGCGGGAGCGGCGCGGGGCTCAGG